TTTACTGATTATTAATTAACAGTTTATTGCTCATTTGGAAGTTAATTACAGTTACTATCATATCTAGTATTAAACTTATGCCTAGGTATATTAATTTATAACTAATTTAATTAAAAACAAAAATTTCAGAAAATGTTCTGAAAATTTTCTAAAATTTTTAAAAATTTTCTTAAGTTTTGAAAATTTCAAAAATTTTCGAACGTTAATTAAATATATTTAGATTTTAATAAATATTATGTTTTTCTTATTTATTAAATTTTTTTAAGCAATTTAATTATTATATTAAATGTAATTAAATATAAAAACTTCAAAAATTTATTTATATTCAATAATAGCATTGATTGACTTAAATGTTTCAAATAGCTTTCATTTTCATATTAATTATGACAATGAAACATTGTACAAGTATAAAGAGACTACTGTATTGAGCATGGTAAATATTAATGTTTTAAGTTATTTATCTATTATTAAAACTTTCAATTATCTAGAAGCTAAAATATATCAAAAAGCCTTGAACCTAATATTGAAAATAGATTTATTTTTAACCCGAAAATATTTCAAGACATGGTTAATGGAAAGTAGGTTTTATTATCAATGGATTTATTGTTAGTAGATTAAATGTAATATATGTATATTATCGTAGTCTGTACGATGTTAGCAAGCATATATACACAGGATTATGTATATTTTGTTTGCAATAGCCTACATGAATTTGTTAAGGGATGTATATTTATGTATGTTAAATTAATAATTTATATTATGTATGTCCGATTAATAGTATTTTCAATGTTAAGGTTTAAACAATTTGTGGAATGTGGGACAACTTTTCACCATAAAATGATCACGGACATTTTTAATAGAGTGTATCAGATAGTTGGCAATAATAATCGTGCTGTATTAATTATTTACAACATTGATCATAATCTTTATAAATCAATAGATTTAAACGAATTATTAAGAAATTGTTTCATTTTTTATTTATACCAGGTTTTATTGTCATTATTAATCTAAATTATTGAAATGAGTAGTTATATTTTTATTTGGATATATTTTATTTTTAGTGTAGATTATTGACTATAAATAAATTTATAAAAATATTGATTAACAATATTTGAGTGGAATAAACTGTAAGTAGTTTATTAATTATAAACAGTAAAATAACTTATTTCTTAATATTAAATTACAATTATTTTTATCTAAGATTAAGTTAGTAATTTTCTTAAGTTCATGTTATTTATGAAATAAATTAATAATAATTATATTTTATTTCGTTTATTAGTTTTTTTTATTGAAAACATGTAATTAAATGTTGGCCAGGTGACATTTTCATTATTGATTTATAATTAAAAATATATAAATATGTTATTGTATAGAAATAAAGCATTTGACAATGTTAAAATGTTGTAATATATTTATTTTCAATTTTTAACACATAAATATTGAATAAGCAAATATGTATTTAAAAATTGAACATCGTTATTCATTCATACCATATGCAAGGATTAATCAAAATGAGATATATTATTGCAATGAATTTAATAAAAATAATTATAACGAATCATCAATTTACATAGTGAAACCGGTAGCTAATGTTATAAAATTATTAAAATATTTTGTAATTGTATTTTTCATTAAGGGACCAGTTCTATATGGAATATACCTGTCCATATTTCAATACATTGTATGTCATTTAAACAAAGCCGTTATATTTATTGAGGAATTAACTGAAAATGTGATGCCAGATGTATATGTGAAAATGTGCTTGATATTCGTATCCTTAAATATAATTTTAAAATTTAATTGGTCTAGGTATATTTTATGGCGGAGCATGACCCTGTGTATGTGCTCGACGAGTTTGATGGCATTCCGTCCGAAGGGTTTTATGATTTAGTAATAATAACCCCGATCAATTCAATCAAATATAATTCGTATTTAAGTTTCACTAAACTATTTGATTATAAGGTAATTATTATAAGATTTTAAATAAATAAATATTTTATTTAAAAATAAAATAGCATTAGAAATATTTTTCAATAATAATAGATTTGGATTTTAATATTGTCCTTGACAATCATAATTGCAATGCTTATTATAAAATCTAATAGTACATTTACCCAGACGTATTTATTAATATTTAAAACTTTGGTCCATCAAAATTCGACATATTTTACAAATTATAGTAAATTAATGAAATCATATTACAATAATCACTCTATAATTTTAACTGTTTTTATCTGGATATTAATGGCTAGTTGTATAACAAAATCATTTTCATCAGTATTACTGAAAACATATTTTAATGTGAAATCATTGCCAATGGTTGAGACATTAACCGATGTTGCTGATGATAAGCAAGCACATGTTATTGCTCAAATTGATCCTGATGATATTTTACCAAACTCTTCATATTTATTAGAGTACCATGATATATTAGAGCGTATATTAAATAAACATAAGTTATATGAAATTTTTTTAAACAAAACAATAGATGGGAGTATTATTTTTAAAGCAAATACCCTAGATAAAATTATAAATGGTGACCTCATTATGGTGTTAAATAGCTATTACGCTGGATTTTTTAAGCAATTATATCAAAAATATAATGAATATTTTACAATAAGCAAGCATAAATATTTTCAAAAATATTGGTTTTATATTTTACATCCAAATGCAAGCTTTTATACAGAGTTTAATTTCATGTATTTATAAATATAATACTGTATAAATGTTAAGTTAATATATTTTCCTTTATTTAGGTACAAGCAAATAATCCAAACTGGCCTTGATTATCATAATGGAATTATACTTAATGCATTTAAGAGAGCTATAGATAGTGAGCGTGGTATATTTTTAAATATTACTTATAAAAATAATAATTTAGACAAGCCGATTATTTTAAAAGATTGTTTTCAAAATGGTTTTATATTGCTAATATTTGGAAATATATTTTCTATAGTTATTTTTATAACTGAACTAATTTACATATTTTATAATTATAGCCAAAATGTAGCTAGACTCAAAAATTTAAAATTGTGTAACTACCGTTCCCATAAATTCCCGCATTATTACAGAAATTCTCAATTGTGCAAAACTAAAGTTATCTGAACTCACTCACCTTGTTTACTAATTACCTGAATGCATTTTATATTGTACCTGTATAATATTGTGCAATGACATATTTCAAATAATTAATATAAATAAAATATATTATCTTAATTTAATTATATATTGCTAATTTTACTTATAATTATCGCTAACTTTATAATAAATATTATTATTGCTATACATAATATTATTATATTTACAAATTTATTAAATAATTGAATATAATGGGCAAATCGATTAATTATTAATAGGCTAATTAGCTTTTAATTGCATTAATTATGTTTTATTTTTGGTTGATAATAAGCAATTAGTTTTTATCACATGAACTCTTGTTCGGGTATACACATATATGAAATAAACAATTCACAATCATTAGACTAGAGTATTTAATAAAACAAATAACCACTTTAAACTAACAATATTTACAATAATATTTTAAATGCCTATTTTAAAAATTAATTATAGATATACATTTATACCTTATAGTAATATTGAGCATGATAAGACATTTTATTGCAATGACTTATCTAGAAAACAGGAAAACATATCTTTCGTTTATCTCGTTTCACCGGTACGTTCAATTGAAATTATTTTAATTTATCTTGTTTATATTTATAAAATATATTATTTATTTTAGGAAGCTATCATATTTGGCATATATTTATCTATTTGTCAGTATATTGCGTGTAATCTAAACAAGGCTATTATATTTATAAGAAACTGGTTTGATTCGTATAATGTGAATGACCACTAATTATAATAACCTATTACTGTATAATATTAATACCTAATACTAAAATAACGTATTATTTACCAGGTTTACTTCATGGCAGAAAGCACAAAGGCAATTTTAGATTATGGTTTTCATGGCATACCTTCGGAGGAGTTTTTTGATATTGTTATTATAACTGCGATCAAAACAATCAAATATAAATCTTATTTAAGTTTCTTGAAACTATTTGATATTAAGGTATAATATGTTTTATTTAATTATGTTTACTGATTTTAATTTAATTTATAACAAATTCATAATAGATTTGGATAATAATATTAATCTTATCATTATTTGTGGCATTTATACTCAACAAATTTAACAATTCAATTACGTTTATTTTTGCATACCTACTAATATTTAAAACCTTGGTGCATCAGCAAGCAAACTATTTTATTAATTTATTTAAATTAGAAAAATTATACGCAAGCAAATATGGCATAATGATACTCGTGTGCACTTGGTTATTTATGGCTAGTGTTATAACTAAATCTTTTTCATCTGTTTTATTGAACACATATTTTAATTTAAAATCCGAACCCATGGTTAACACATTAGAGAAACTTGCTAATAATGAGCAAGTACACGTAATTTCAGATCTAGCATTTGTAAACATTTTATACAATTCATCATATTTACCAGAATATAGACATTTGTTAGGAAATATAATTAGCAAGCATAAAACGTATGAAAGATTATTAAATAAAACCATTAATCATGGTAGTATTTATGATGAGACAATTTTAAAGCAAATAATAAATGGTCAAGCAGTAATTGCTATAAATAGTTTTTATGCAAGCATATTTGAAAAATTATTTTCTAAGCACGGTGATAAATTTGTTATAAGCAGGCATAAATATTTTCAAAACTATTGGTTTTATGCATTGCGGAATAATTCACTATATTATACGGAATTTGAGTTTATGTAATTAATACAATTTATATTATTATTATTATATAATATGTTGTACAATATTGTTAATGTTTTTAATTTCAATTTACTTTCATATAGGTATAAACAAATAATTGAAACTGGTCATGATTATCATAATAGGGTGATATTTAGCGCAATGAGAAGGGCTAAAAATAGTAATCAAGTTAACAACTCGCAAATTAATTATGTTGACACTAGTAAACAAAACCCTATTGATTTAAATGATAGTTTTCAAAATAATTTTATTTTATTATTATTTGGTTTTGTAATCTCCATTATACTATTAATTTCTGAAAAATATTTATTATTTAAAATATAATGTAATTTTTAAAATAGAAATACAATAGATTTTAATAGCATATTTTTTAATTTTGAATACAGCTAGTTATTTTCCGAAAATTGTTGTTTAAGCAGGTAATCAATACTCATGACAATAAACTCAATATTATTATATTTTGGAAAAAAATTATATTTAATATTGAAGTCACAAATAAATACAATAATTAATAACTGATAATTATATATAATTGTTTATAATTTACAACATATGACTATAAATGAATTAATTTTTACGGTTGATTATATTTAATAGCCCATAATTAATGCTAACATAAAATGTTATAGTCAAAATAATTTTGTAGTAAGCATTTTTAAAAATATAATATATTAAAATACTAACAAATTATAATTAATTATTTTTTATAATAATATATTAATAATGTATTTTAAAATTAATTTTTTCTATTCATTTATACCTTATGCAATAATTACTCATAATAAAACATTTTATTGTAATGAAGTATCTAGCAATAATAGCTATGGAAACCCTGTTTATATGGTCTACCCGGTACTATATATATATAAAATAATGAATAAATATTAATTCACATTATAATCATTTTAAATAATTTATTCATTTTAGAATAATGAGGTGTTTGGTATATATTTGACAATTTCACAATATATTGTGTGTAATTTAAACAGGCCAATTATATTTGTACGAAATTGGTTTCATTCAACAAATGTATGTTTCACTTTATACTAGTATATTATTATATAAATATGTTTAAAAATTTTATAACATTTACCAAGATCTATTTTATGGGGGAACTTCCATCAATACTATTTTCTTACGGCCTTGATGGTATTGCTTCAGAGGAGTATTTTGACCTGGTTATTATAACCGTAGTTAATAAAGTCAAATATAATTCGTACTTAAATTTAATGAATGTTTTTGATTATAAGGTATTTATTATCTTTTTAAAATAATTTACTCATTTATTTATTAATTATAACAATTTACTTAATAGATATGGATTATACTCTTGGTGCTATCCATATTTATGGCAATAATACTTAAGCTATTTTCCAATAAGTCAATTATAAGTTTCACCATGGCCTATTTATTGGTTTTTAAAACACTAGTACATCAAGATGTCAAATATTTCACAAATTTTGTGAAATTAAAACATTTATATTCTAATAAACGTTTAATACTAATAATTATATTTACCTGGCTATTTATGGCCAGTATAATCACAAAGGCATTTTCATCCGTTTTATTGAACACGTATTTTAATTTAAAATTTATTCCTATGGTTAACACATTAGCTGATGTAGCTAGTAATAAGCAGTTTCATGTACTTGCTGATATTGGTCGTATTAATCTGTTTATTAATTCATCATCATTACCAGAATATCAAGATATTTTAATAAATATAAGAGACAGGCACTTTAAATATGAACATACATTTAATAGAAATATTGAACGGGATGGAATTTTTGATGCATCAATATTTGAGCAAGTAATTAATGGACATGCTATTATAGTATTTAATAGCTTACATGCTGGTTTATTTGCGCAATTATTCTCGAGGTTTAGTGATAAATTCACAATAAGCAAGCATAAATACTTTCATAACTATTGGTTTTATGTTTTGCAAAGGGATTCAGAAGTTAACATTGAAATGAAGTTTATGTTAGTCAAATAGTTTTGTGCAATAATTATAATCAATGTAACGTTTTTATTCAATTTATTTTTAGGTATCAACAAATTATCCAAACTGGACTCAATTATCACAACCGTGTAGTGTTTAATACATTACAAAAGACTAGGAATAGTGAACAAGGTTCATTTAAAAATATAACATATAGCGAAGATAATTTAGAAAAGCCTATTGATTTGAACGATTGTTTTCAAAATGATTTCATTATATTATTGTTTGGATCTGTTTTGTCAATCATTATATTTATTACTGAAATAGTTAACACAACATAAAAGCAAAATATTTGTAACTTTAAAAAAATTAACAATATAAATTAGTCGCTCATGTATATTATGAGTAATATTAAATTGATATAAAAACATCATATATTTTTTCAAGTTTTAATTTTTATGTGTAATTTTTTATTAATTCAAATTATTTTAAATTACAAATTGTATAAAAGATTGCAAGTGAAATAATCAAGGCAAAATTAAAATTAGCAATAAATCCGGAATTACACTGTTTGGTGCCGTACTGATAATCAATACAATTGTGTGCATTGTTCCTGGTGATTTCAGTGTTATAAAACATTTGTACCTTGCTCGCCTCCTCTGATGTACATTTCCCCTATTAATAAAAATTTAAAAATATAACAAATAATTTAATATAATATATTTAACATTAATATTGTTTAACAAGTGTTTAAGTATTTAATACTGATAAAAATATTAAAATATTATACTAATATAAATGTTATTTATGTAAGTTTAACACTACATACCGTATATTTAAACGTACAATTAAATGTTTCCCACAAACGACAACAGGAGTGCCTTTTACCCTGGTCAGTGGTTGTATCAGGGTACTGATCCCAGTGGACATCTCTCATACATTCATTTACATCGGAATATATTTTACTTTTGCATGAATTGATGAGTTGGTCGTCGTGTGCGTCCATTAGGTCTATACCGGTGTTAATCACTTGACATAATACGGGTCCCATATTGACCACTAATATGAACAGGGTTAGAGTATAAATTAGTCTTAACATTTTAACATTAATGTAGTTTTTGTATTTAGAAAATGACTTAAAATATAAATGAGTTTGTAAAATAAATGTCAAGTCTTTATATAGCAATGTTACTATTTCCAGTCTATAATTCATACGTTTTTCGTATTAATTTTGTGTTGATTTAGTTGTTTTGAGCGGAAGTTGTTGTTTAGGTTATTAGTAAAGTTGCGGTGTATTTATGATTTGTAAACACGATGTCAAACTAAAAATTTTTATTTAAATTAAGAATTTTTGGTATTACCATAAAAATATATGAATTATAGACTGGAAATAGTAACATTGCTATATAAAGACTTGACATTTATTTTACAAACTCATTTATATTTTAAGTCATTCTAACTGTAAGGATTAATGAGTTACACTGGTTTCTATTCTTATATTTCAAAACTAAATTAAAAGAAAACCACATGAGATTTTTAATTAGTTTCTTTACTAAATTATATATTTATATAGACTATTTTAATTTTATTCAAAATTTTTATTAAAAACATTTAAATTGTAACGGGAAATTATGTTTAAAAATTATAAACATGAATTCAAAGGTATTACCCCAAACTACTCAAGGGTATGAAAAGTTATTTTAGTAGCTCTATTAGTTTACTTTAAGTTAATGAAGAGAAACTCTTGAGTAGTTTGGGGTAATAGGGTGATTTTTGCAAAACTAAAATTGTTGACATGCACAATTTTTCAGAACTTGAACTTATACCCTAGATCGATTCCCCTTTGAAAAATAATTTTGTGAAAATAAAATCCATAAATTACGTTTTAAA